CCTGAGGAGTTCGCCTGCTCGCACGTCGTGCACTGGACGGGTGCGGTCGACTCGCCTTTCAAGGCCATCTTCGACACCAACAAAGACGTGATCAGCACCAAGCTTGAGACGTTCGAGAGCACCATGGCGGAGAACGACAAGTGGGCAGGGGCATGTGGCACGTGCGGTGATGGGTTCGTCCTGGAGGGGGCCTCGATGTACGGCTCCACGCTGGAGGACATCCACATGAGTGGCTCGAAGCCTTGGATCGTGAGCGTTCGTGAGGGCCACCGTCGCAGTGCACCAGCTTGCTCGCCGTTGGCAGGGCTCGCATGCGTCATCAAACCGATCGGTGACCAACGGATCTTCGTCCACGGGGTCGCCATGGAGCCGCTCTTGCAGATGGGCATCGCGCTGGCGGACTTCGACCCGTTCTCGAACACCGCTGCGGGCGTCGAGTTCATGAAGGCGCACTCGTTCGTGGTCGGTGCCAAGCCCGACGAGATGGTCTACTTGCCGCCAGCGTGTCTCTACTACGTCATCGCCATGACGGCCAACAACAAGAAGACGAAGACAGAGAAGGAGGTTGCTCACATGCTCCACTTGCCTGTGTGGGTCAAGAGCTGGCACGGATTCTCGGAGAACATCAAGAACGCGATTGTCGCGCTGAGCGGCTCGACATTCCAGCAGAAGAGGGGCAAGCAGATGTGGGAGGAGCGCCTCGCGTGGTTCAACAAGATCCTCGAGTGTGATGCTGGTGCGATCTCTTAGGCGGCCCCCGCCCAGAGCTTGGAGCAACGACGATGGGTGCAGCGCCTTCGCTGCGGTCGTGGGAGAGCTCGGCGGGGCCGCCTTGAAAAACGCTCGTGCCGATATCAGAGTGCCGACGCAGCTCCGCCGACAGCAGAGTGCCCCCCCCCCCCGCCGCAGTGTCGGGGGGAAGGAGGAGGGTGAGGAGGAGAGGAAACGAGGAGGAGTACGAATAGGAGGTGGGGGAGGAGGATGGAGGAGGGAGGGGAGAATGAGGAGGAAAGGCAGGAGGAGGAGGAGGGGGAGGAGAAGCGAGGAGGATGAGGAATGATGTAAAAAATGAATGAGGAGGAGGATGAGCTCCTCCCTCCTCCTCCCTCTTCTTCCTCCTCCTTCTCTCCTCCCTCCCCCTCCTCCTCTTGTCCCTCCAGAACACGAGAGGGGGGGGAGGGGGGAGGGAGGGAGGGAGGGAGGGAGGGAGGGAGGGAGAGAGAGAGAGAGAGAGAGAGAGGGGCAATAGAGAGAGAGAGAGAGAGACAACGAGAGAGAGAGAGAAGGAGGGAGGGAAGGAGGGAGGGAGGGAGAGAGAGAGAGAGGGAGCGAGAGAGGGAGAGAAAGAGAGAGAGAGGAAGATAGGAGGAGAGAGGGAGAGGGAGAGAGAGAGAGAGAGAGATAGAGAGAGACAGAGAGAGACAGAGGGCGAAAGAGAGAGGCAGAGAGCGAGAGAGAGAGAGAGAGAGAGAGCAAGCTAGATATTATATAACGGGTCAGAGAGATGTAGGGGGAAAGAGACAGGGACAGAGAGAGAGAGGGATGATAGATACAGAGATAGAGAGAGAGAGAGAGCATGAGAGAGAGAGAGAGAGCGATAGAAAGTTAGACATTACAGAACGAGTCAGAGAGATGTAGGGACGGGGGCACGAGACAGAGAAACCAGGAGAGATAAACATTGAGAAACAGAGAGACACAAAGAGAGAGAGAGAGAGAGAGGAGAGACAGCGAGAGCCCCCGCCGCCCCGCCGCGACGTGGGGGGCGCCTGCTGGATCGGCGCCAGGACGCCCGCCGCAGGGTCGGGGGGAAGGAGGAGGAGGAGGGGAAGGTAGGAGGAGTGCGAATAGGATTTGGAGGAGGAGGAGGATGAAGGAGGGAGGAAAGAAGGAGGAGGAGGGGCAGGAGGAGGAGGAGGAGGAGAAGCGAGGAGGATAAGGAATGATGTAAAAAAGCGGATGATGAGGAGGCGGATGAGAGTTCCTCCCTCCTCCTCCCTACTTCTCCTCCTCTTGGGCGTGAGGAACCGCAAAACGAGGGGCGTGAGGAACTTGAGCGGCAGGCACTCCTCCTCCTCCTCCTCATCCCCCCTCCTCCTTTTCCTCCTTCCCCCTCTTCTTCCTCCTCCTCCTCCTCCTCCTCCTCCTCCTCCTCCTCCTCCTAGCCATTGCTCCCGTTTACCGAAATTCAGGCTGCTTGCGCTAGCGTTTCGTTTCCGAATTTCGGAGTTCATTTTGAAGGGAGAAAAGTTGAGGCAGTTTCCTTTAGCGGCGGCTCTAGTTGAGCCTCGCCGCATTACCCGCGGGGCGAGTGGGGTGCCTTACGTTTTCGGTTTTCTGGTTGAGCCGCGGAACCCATGTCTTACCAGGCGGCGCCAGAGGCGCCGCCGGGGGGGCTCAGCACGGATCCAAGAAATCCGCCCGGAGCGCCAAAAGCTTGTATTTCTGTCCTTTTTTCTTCGAACCATGGGCCTCCCAAGCGGGCATACCTGCGCGGCAGGCTCCCGAGAGGCCTTCGCGCTGCAGAGGCTCTCGAGAGGCCCCGGAGAGGCACTCGCGGCGGGGTCTGCCACAGGCAGCTGGACAAATGCACATTCTCGCGTGTTGTTTCGCTGCTGCTGCTGCTGCTGCTGCTGCTGCTGCTGCTGCTGCTGCTGCTGCTGCTGCTGCTGCTGCTACCGTTGCTGCTGCTGCTACCGTTGCTGCTGCTACTGCTGCCACTGCCACGATCACGCTGTGAAGAAGCGGGGAAGCGGGCCCCTGGTGCCTACCACTGCTGACAAGGCAAACTTCGAGCATGGGGCCAATGGATCGCCTGCACTAGCAAATGATTGCTCCTCGTCTTATTCCTCGGTCTGCCGCGTACTGCTGCTCACCCTAAGCCCTCCTCGCTCTCTCCGCCTGCTCCTCTACCTCCTCCTTTCGCTGTCTGCCTTTGCCCCCATCTCCCGTGGCCTGGCTCCGCGGGAACAGCCAAACAGATTTCCCCCCACGGGCCGGACAAGATGTCAAAAGCAAGTCCGAGTGCTTGGCGCCTCGGGTTGTCACTCTGCCATGGAGGGTCTGATCAGCGGCTCCTGGCCCCTCGCAGCATGAAGGTGGATGACCTGGGAGGCCTCTCGGGGCCTTGGGGGCTCCTCGGGAATATTTTGGGCATCCTGGGAGCCTCTTGGAGCCTTCATGAAGACCTCTCGGGGCCTGTTGCGTGGCGCCTCGGGGGCCTCGGAGGGGGACCTTAACGTTGGGGTGGAGGGCTCAAACCGTTAATCAGGGTTCCCCTTTCTTGGGGTCCTCATGAGGTCCTGGGCATTAGTTGTCTTTTATGTTTTCTTGGTCCCCTTCACGTTGTGCAGCTCCCTACGCGGTGAAAGAGCGGCTGCTGCCCCAGACGAAATCGACTTTCTCTCTGGACCATTGCACAGTCGGAGTGTTAAATTCAAATGCAACGAGGACCGCATTTTTGGCAGTGTATCCTAAGTCAGTGTCCAGGCGCTCGAGCGAGACTCGCCAATCCGAGTTCAGGGCCAGGCTTGCAAAGGAAATCATGAGTATGTAGTGAAACCGCCCGCGCTGCTGCCACATCGTGCCCAACGACATATCAAAACTCAAATCGCAAGCATGTCCTCGTCGGGCGGTTCTGCTTTTCGCTGAGCTCAAAAGTGCCAGCATGTTGCCCCTGAGTGTGCGACAACACTTGAATTGACAAGCTTCTTTGCAACCTCGGCAACGGAGATAGAAACCAGAGCAAGACTGGACGGCCTGTCGCTCTGCGCATTCATCGCAACAAGAATTAGATGCGAACTCCTGCGTACCTTGGGTCGCTCGACTCAAATGGCCACCATGAGGAGAGCGCGCCGTGCCAATCAGCTGCTGCAGTCGCAAGCTCTCGATACTGAGTTCACGCAACGTGAAGACCTCAGATACTCTATTCCTAAACCATTGCGTTGTGTCGCACACTTTGTGGACACCCATGTTGTTCAGGCTGGCATCTCCAGAATCGAATTCAGCCGCTATCAGCACGCAGTTCTCAACAATATAGCCTCCGCGATTGTCCACGCGTTCAGGGGACAGGGAACCCCATCTCAACACCAGAGTAGAAGCACTGGTCAGACTGCTGGCACAACATGCGCAATACGTCTTCTGCGCAACCACCGCATTCCCACACCCTCGCCGTAGACCTACGTCGCTCGCTTGAGATTGGAAAAGGAACGGCACCAAGCAATGTAGACCTCCATTGTCGACCTGCTGCGGAGGCACTTGCTTAACAAGATCTCGCCCGACCATTCCTTCGGGAGCTGCCCTTGTAACAGTCGTTTAATCGTTCGTCGCCTGGTGCCAACCACACTTTAAACACCTTTGCCCCCCGGAAACATCAAACACCGACGCAATGGCAACGCTGGCATCCCGTGGGCGTCCTGGCGCTTGGGAATGTAAGCGGGCAACTTCAACTTGCTCCCGCGGTAGCCGAGATGGACGCGTAAATGTTACACTGCGTGGTTTAAGTGAGTCCTGACTCTTGCCTAGACGTATAAAACCCCCAAAGAAGCAGCAACGCCACGCACGGCGCACAGCAGGTTCCAGGGATACTCTACTGGTGCAGCAAGCCCTTGACCGTTCGAATCGGCCAATCGTGATTGGCAGAAAGCAACCCGTGCAGATGCATGACGCCGAATGTTAGCCAACACCTGAGCCAAACTGAGTACTGAGGACCCTCTTGGGCGGTCTTGGGGGGCCCTTGAATGCCTCGGGCCATCTTGGGCCCACCTTGGAGGCCTCTTGGGTCGCCTCGGGCGGTCGCAACCTGAAAATTCGACGACGACGGCGACTAAGGCGACAAGGAGGACGATGGCGATGACGAGGAGGACAACGGTGAGAGCGACTACGACGACGAGGACACAGACGACGACGACGACGACGACGGCGACGACGGCGACCCGAACGTGCGGGAGGGACGGCTGGGAGCAGGCAGGGGGGAGGGCGAGAGTGGCGAGGCGGGGGAGAATCTAACAAGCCATGCTCCAAAGCTGAGGGCGCGAGGGCACACTGGGCCTGCGCCTGGGAGATCGCGACCGAGAGCGATTCCTCGGGGGCGCGTGGGAGGGATGCCACGGAGCAGCCCCGCAGTGGGAGGAGGAGGAGGACGAGGAGGAGGAGGAGGAGGAGGAGGAGGAGGAGGCGGGAGGAGGAGGAGGAGGAGGAGGAGGAGGAGGAGAGGAGGAGGACGAGGAGGAGGAGGAGGAGGAGGAGGCGGGAGGCGGGAGGAGGAGGAGGCGGGAGGAGGAGGCAGGAGGCGGGAGGCTGAGGAGGAGGAGGAAGGAGGAGGAAGAGAGGAAGGGAGGGAGGAACGGACCGATGACGGGAGAGGAGGAGGGAGAGAGAGCAGGTCCGTAGCATGCTTGGCTGAAACACTTTTTGCTCGAATCATTTTGACACCCTAACCGTTCTGACTTAAACTCCCGAGGGATTTCCTGTGGCAGCATGCCCCAGGAACCGTGGCGGGTACGCGCCCCCACCCCCATCGCCACCTCTTGCGGAAAGGGCAAAGGCGACCCCGAAACCCGAACCCCCGACCCCCCATCCCCACCTCAAGCGAAGAAAATTTGCTTCTCCCTTCGACGACGACCTCTCCGACATCGAAGCCACCATAGCTTGGCCCGCCTCTACAGCCGGACCCAGCACAGAAGAGCATCCTTCAAGAACACGAGGCCCCCCGCTGGCCAAACTGAAGGCCGTTCGAGGGTACACTCCCCCAGGATGCAAAATAACATCCAGCAGACAGGAAAAACATGAGTATAATAATGAGAAAAGCAATACGCATCAACTTTTGGTGTTCCGCCCGGATTTCTTGGATCCGCGCTGGGTCCTCCTCCCTGGCGCGCCCGAAGCGCCGGCGGGGGGGCCCAGCGCGGATCCGAGAAATCCGCGCGGAGGGCCAACATGTGTATGTGCTTTATGGCGTGTTTTCTTTTTCGAAGTAAGGCAACCTCCCTTAGCCGACCTCGATCTTATCCCTCGGCCCAGCCGTGGCGAAGCAGGCCAAAGAGACCCGGCCAACAGCTCGCCCAGGAGGACGCGCGCAGCCTTGACGACGACGATGACGATGACGATGACGTTGTCGTCGTCGTCGTCGACGTCGTCGTCGTCGTCGTCGACATCGTCGCCGTCGTCGTCGACATCGTCGTCGTCGTCGACATCGTCGTCGTCGTCGTCGTTGTCGTCGTCGTCGTCGAGGGCGGCCGGGAGCACCGAGGACTCTGAGTATGCGCCAAAAACGCAGCGTGTTCACACCGACGCGTGGAAGGCGGTGCGCGCTGCGCTGCAAAATGGGCGCATCGGGGCAGCAACACGCCATAAGCAGCTCGAGGGGCGAATAGCGTCAGGAGCGCGCCCCGGGGAACCAGCACATGAGCCTCGAGGGCGGGCGGGAGCCCGAGCTTGGAGGACCAGCGGCACCCTGGGGGAGCTGAGGCCTGGACCAGAGGCGGTACAGTCGAACCTAGGACAGAAAAACACCCCTCAAGAACACGAGACCCTCCGCCGGCCAAAACGCGCAGAATATCCAAGAGGCCCTTCCCAAGGGTGCACAAGAACATCCAACGAACACGAAGAACATTAGGGTACCCTCCCCGAACCGACCTCGATATTATTCCTCGGACAATCACTCAACGTATGGTAAAGGCGCAAGACCCTTGCAGGCCGAAGCTGGGGTTTTCGTTTGGTGGCGGGCGACCAACGATAATTGTAACGGACGGGCCGCAGAGGCAAGGACACAAGGGCACCCTAGATGAGGGCACACGCCCTTACTAGGCGCGTTGGCTATAGTGCTCCGCGCTGACAGCCGACCCCATCAATTCCGGCCCGTGTGAGCGGCCTCCAGGAGACAAGCTGGTCAGGGTGCCAGCGGAGGAACACCAACGCCGTGGGCGCACGGCATGCTTTCGCAGCTGGGGTTGGGGGGCGGGAGCGGCGGGGAACGGGGGCTGAGGAAGAGAGAGAAGAGGAAAAAGGGCCAACCAGGGCAAGGAGGGCGCGGGAGAGGGAGGAGAAGCGCGGGAGGACGGAGAGAGGGACAGACGAAGGGAGGGGAGGGGAGGGGGAGGAGCGCGTAAGAGGGGGGAGAAGAGGATGGAAGAGGTAGCGCTACCACTGATGGCACGCGGCTCACTCCCACCGCGAGCTCCGTTCGCGCCTCCCCCCCCTGGACCTCCCCCAGAGAGCTGCCCCCCGCTCAGTCCTGCCCTTGCGTCGCCGCCGGCTCGACGGACTCGAAGAGGAGGAGCGGCGCCGGCGTGAAGGAGAGTTACCTCTGCGCGCTACTGATGGCCGGGCCGACGCAAAGGAGCCGCCGCCTTGCCCAGTTTCGGTTCCCAGTGCACCCTGCCACCTCCACGCTCACACATGCCCCTTTTGTTTACTTTACTCCACCTCCTCCTCCACCACTACCTCCGAATCCTCTCCGCTCATCCCGCTCTCCCCCATTCACTCCGCATCATCCTCATACACATCCTACTCCACCTGATCATCAGAGTGCAAGGACTCAACGGTCATTCATTGTCCCTGGGTGCGTGGCTGAAGTAGGGTTCAGCGGTGCGGATTGTTGTTGCATTGTTGCGTTGTGGCGATGTTGTTGTTGTTGTTGTTGGTGGTGGTGGTGGCGGTGGTGCTGGTGTTGTTATACTCGTTGTTGTTGTTGTCGTTGTCGTTGTCGTTGTTGTTGTTGATCTTTGACTTCTGAAGGTTAATGACTGTTGATCCCCACCTTCTGGTGCACATTGAATTCTTCCAATTGAAGTGCCCCTCCCGGGGCTCGCACCGTGTTTCTACTGAAGGGAATATTGGAGCTCAAACTGGCCCCCTGGCCTCCGAACTCCAACGACAACGGCCCCCGCCTGATACTTTCTCACAATCTCTTCGCGGGAGAATCTCACAATTTATGCAGGAATTGCGCTCTCGCGTGGACTTCCTCCCAATTTATTCAAACGCCGCGCCCTCGACGCTCAAGAATCGCGCTGCCGCTTTGGTCTTTTGCGCGATTTCCCCGTGAATCGTGCTATCGCTTGAGGCTTTCCATGCAGGACTCACGCTTCAGCGAGACGCCTGCTCGACCTGGCCGCCTAGGCCCGCCTCCCCGACCCGCCCGTTACGGTCTGCCCGCCCGATCTGCCCGTCTGGTTCCGCCACGTGTTTTCTGCTCCTAACCCCTCTCATGCTACTTTCTCTCGTGCTTTATCCATCTCCCTCCCCTTTCCATCTGTCCTCTCTTCGGAAGAGAGGACAGATGGAAAGCACGCCTTGCCTTGGGGGCTGCACGCCATACACTTTGCAGGTAAAATAGAGAGATCCCTAAGGGTGCACGATCGAAGACGAAGAGGGCTGGTACCGAGAATGTGAGATATACGTGCTGAACGGCACGCGAGCAGATAGGAATGGACAATTGTATGATGAGCGTTGTTGTTAATGGTGTTCTTGTCGTTTTTGCTATTATTGTTGTTGTTGCTGTTGCTGTTGATTCCCATTTCTAAAGAATCGACCGACCCTGTCGGCGTGGGGGGTCTGTCTGGTCCCGTCGACGGGACGCCTTTTCTGTTTATCCTTCCCCGTCGGGAGGGAGAGAGCAATCTCCCGTCGTCGGGGGAAGGAGTCCAGGGATTGAGGGAAATCGACCCACGTCGCAGTCACGTCAAAGGGAAGCTCCTTCCCTTTGCCCCTTCCCTGGCGGGGGGGGGGATCCCGGGAGGGGGGCGTCAGATTCGCATCGCCCCCTCTCCCACGCCGGTCCTCCTCCGGTCCTCTTCCCCAGGGGGGGGGGCCCAGGGGGGAGTCCTTTTCCTCCTCTCCGCCTCCTCCTCCTTCTCCTCCTCCATCTCCTCCTCCTCCCCCTCCTGGTCGTCGCCGATGTCTTTCAAGGTCGGCGGCACCAGCCGTCAGGCCTTCACAATCGTTATTGTTGATCCCCCATGCCCGGTAAAACATTCTATGTTTTTCAATGAGAATGCTCCTCCCGGGCTCGCACCCTGTTTCTACAGGGCAAAATGAAGTGTTACCCAACTGGGCCCATGGCCCCCGAACTGCGACAAGAACCACGGCTCCCGGTACTTCCTCACCATGCACAGTCGGGACGTTGACCTAAGGAACCCTACATAAGGAACGAGGCCCCTTTTTCCCATCACGTAGAGCTCGATTTCCCTCATCGAAAACCTCAGGAGAACCTGAGGCAAGCTGTGAAACAATCGAGGGACACAGAGCCCCTCCCCAGCGAACAAGGTTCCATCTCCAGCGCCCCGCCTGTAGTCCCAGATCTGAAGGGGCCCTGGGACACATAAGTGAACAGACACAAATAACTGGTTTCCCCAAATTTCCGGATATTTTCTGGTTTTTTGTCTTCCCCCCCCCCCACTTCCCATATTTTCCTATATTTTCTGAGGAATCGACGATTCAATTGTGCCTGTGTGCTTTTGTTCCCTCCTGGAGATCGGGCTCCCGCGCGGGACGCCCTCGCAGTCTGCGGGAGCACGGCCCCGGGGAAGGGGTCGCGAGCAGCGCGGGCCGCGCGCCGAGGCCAGCTGGACGTCGAGGGGCTCGGGCAGGCTTCACCGCTCACCCCCGCCGCCCCACGCCTCCCACGCCTTCCATTCCTGCTCCTCCTCCTCCTCCTCCTCCTCCTCCTCCACCTCCTCCTGCTCCTCCTCCTCCCATTCCTCCTCCTCCTCCTCCTCCTCCTCCTCCTCCTCCGCCTCCTCCTCCTCCTCCTCCTCCTCCCTCCTCCTCCTCCTCCTCCTCCTCCCTCCCATTCCTGCTGCTCTCCTCCTCCTCCTCCTCCTCTCTCCTCCTCCTGCTCTCCTCTCCTCCTCCTCCCATTCCTCCTCCCCCTCCTCCTCTCCTCCTCCTCCTCCTCCTCCTCCTCCTCCTCCTCCTCCTCCTCCTCCTCCTCCTCCTCCTCCTCCTCCTCCTCCTCCTCCCGTTCCTCTTCCTCCCTATTGATTTCTGATTTCTGATGGCTGCAAGATCCTCCGGACGTAGCCTCCCCCCCCTCTGCCGGTCGGTCCTGGGGGGTCGATCCAACTAGGACCAGGTGGTCCCTGGACCACCGCCACAAGGGTCACCGTGCGGTAGAGTGTAAAAATGAAGGGTAACGACAGAGAGAAGCCCTTCTCTTCCTCCTCCTCATCCTCCTCATCCTCCTCCCTCTCCTCCTCCTCCTCCTCCTCCCTCCTCCTCCTCCTCCTCCCCCTCCTCCTCCTCCTCCTCCTCCTCCTCCTCCTCCTCCTCCTCCCTCCTCCTTCCTCTCCTTCCTCCTCCTCCTCCTCCCTCCTCCTCCTCCTCCTCCTCCTCCTACCTCTCCCTCCCCTCCTCCTCCTCCTCCTCCTCCTCCCTTCCTCCTCCTCATCCTCCTCCTACTCTTCCTACTCCTCCTCCTCCTCACCCCCAGCGCACTCCTCTCGACAACTCTCCCTTCATCTGTCCTCCTCCGCTCATCTGTCTCTCCCCGCTCCTGCGTTCTCCCCTCCGTCCTTTCCTCTCCGCACTCACCCTGCTTTCCCAGTGTTCCCCGCTCCTCCGTATTTGTCCCTTTTTCCTCCATCCCCCCATCCGTCCGCTCTCCCCTGTGCCCAGCTCCACCTTACTTACGCCTGTCATCCCAGCACTTTCCTCACATCTGACCAGAGGGTTGTGCCAGAGGTGCGCGCGCGTGTGTATGTGTGTCTCTGCGTGCAGGTGGACTGGTGGGAAGGATGCAAGGGAGGAGGACATGAGGATCGAGATAAACACCAGGATAATAATGTGGCGGAGTGCAAGAAGAAAGGAGGGATCAGGAGAGGAAGAGCAGCTGAGGGAAAGAAACGAATTGTAATCAAGAACACGTGGGTAGGAGAGGAGGGGGAAAGAGAGAGGAGCGACACAAGAGGGGGGAGGAGAAGTTGAGAAGAGGGTCACAACGATGAGGTCGGTCGAGAGAGCAGGAATGAAAGAGACGGGAGAGCAAAGAGAAGAAAAGCAAAAGCTAGAGGAAGAGATGGATCCGGCACCCATCTCCGCCCTTCCCTTGTGCACATCGTCATCCATCCAAAAACCCGCCGCCGACGCCCACTGGACCCAACCGACCCCACCGCACGATTCCTAACCGCCTCAGCCTACCTACAATCCATGCGTCCCCCTCTTCACGCATTCCGCTCGAACCCGGCCACATCTCCCCCAAACTTTAGATATTGTAAGCTGAGAAAACCAGGAAAGCTATTTACAAGCCATCACATGACGCAGCTTAAGGCGTCGCAGATCTGGTAAGCTCGATGGGCTTCAGGCCATACCCCATCTGTTGCCGGACGGCACACTGAAATCCGGCGAGCACGCCCCCTCCGGTGCCCGGAGCTTCCTCACTCCAAGCCGCCCACGGTGATGATCCGACATCTTAAGGAGCTGCCAGCCGTGGCGACGGAGCCCTCACGATTGCCCGAGATCTGCGGAGGCGCAGTGGTCGGCAATGCGTCCTGGAAAGCAACGTGCCGGAGGGGGCTCCGCCATCCCTCCCGTGGAGCCGACCCCCGTCTCGGGCTCGCGGAGCCTCGCTGCCAGCCGGCGCGGGTCGTCTTCCTGATCTGGCTGGCCTGGCTCTTCTGCCGCCACAGCTTCTCCCAGTCGAAGTTCTCGCCCTGCGCGAGCTTCTGCTCCTCCCGGGCCAGCGCGAGGCACGGTGTGCGTTCCGAGAGCCTCGCGGGGGCACTGGCCCCGCAGCCAGATCCCTGGCCGCGGGGGGGAGGACCACTGCCACAGCCACTCAACTGCGCTCGTATATGGCCTGCTCTGACAGAGCGGCACCCGGTGGCCGAAATCTCGAAAGATAGCCCGCCGCGATTTTCCTGGAGAGTGTCTGGGGCTTGGGGGGCGAACGCCATCCGATGCATGGACCGCGTCCCCGACAGGTCGCGCACAACCGACATTGACCCTTTCCAGTCGCCTGTGAAGGATCTAGATCTGTGACTCCCGCACGATCTCCCCGTCCGCCCCGCCCCCCCCCCCCCCCCCTGCCCCTGCTCCTCTTCCCTCCCCCCCCCCTCTCCCTCACTTGTCTTATGATAGAAGACTGGCGTTGAAACATTTTTTCCTGATTGAAGTTGCTACCCGCATTCATAAAGTTCCCCACATGCTCACTCATTACGGTCATCACTACTGCTCATGTATTAAGATGGTCTTCTTGTGTTTTCCCATATGCTTGATAGGTTTGTTATTACTCAGGCGCCTCATATTCCCTCGTTATTTCCCTCTTTCCTCCCCCTCTTCTTGTACACACTTTATTTTTACAAATCCGGCTCCCACCCAGTCGCCATCATCCCCCTTCTCCTCCTCCTCCTCCTCCTCCTCCTTCTCCTGATACTCTCAGAACGACTCATACTGATGCTCTCTCTCATCCCTACTGTCCGTCAATCAGGCTCAGACTCACTCTTCAAGCTCAGACTCACTCACACTCAAACTCGCTCACGTGAAAACTCACTCGTAGTCAGACGCACTCAGACTCACTTCCACTCAGACTTACTCATAGTCAGGCTCATTCACACTCAGACCATTCAAACTCAAACCCGCTCAGATTCACACTCAGTTGGTCCAGTGCCCACCGCGATATAGCAGACCTTCGCCCCGAACTGATCGGAGCCGGCGGTGCGGATGTGTCAGGCGAGGCGCTGGGCTCACTACTCCCGCATGGGAGCCGCCGAGGGGTATCTGTCGGGCCCGTTCGCGCCCAGATCGTGGGGATGTCTGAGGCGGTGTGCCTGCGTCTGCCACCCCCGTCTTTACTTCTTTCCAAGGGCTCCCAACTTCGCGCTTCGCGCTCCGCGAAGCGCGAAGCGCGAATAACTTCGCGCTCTCGCGCCGCCCCCCCAAAGGGAGAATAGGAGGACGAGGAGGAGGGGGAGGAGGAACGAGGACCGCGAAGCGCGAAGCGCGAATAACTTCGCGCCCTCGAGGGAGCCCTTGTCTTTCGTTGTCCACTGCTGACCGCGATGCAGCAGGCGCGGCGCTTGGGCATCTCAACGGGGGAGCCACGAAGGAAGGTCTCACGGGCCCGCCCGCGCCCCGATGGTGGGGATGTCTCGGGCGGCTCGCCCGTGTCTGCCTCCCGGGCCTCTCGATTTCGGCGGCCCACTGCGCACCGCGATCTAGCGAGCGTGGCATCTGGGGCGCCCGTTCGTGCCCAGATAGCTGGGAGGTCTTGAGCGGTTTGCGCGTTTCTGCACCCTGGATGTTTTGCTTGTGGTGCACTGCCCTCCGCGATAAAAAACCGGTGTGGCACCTGGGCATGCCTCAGGGGGGGCGCCAGCAGTGGGGACATCCCAGAGCTCGCGCCCAAGAGTGTGGAGATGTCTCCAGCAGTTTGGCTGTTTCGGCCTCCCAGATTTCTCTACGGACTCGTGTGCCTTTTCGTCACAAAGGCGCAGCCCTTCGCACTCACACGTATCAGTCACCAAATCTTCCTCACTCAGACTTACCCATCACACACAACATCGCCCATACTCAGGCGAACTGACACTCAGACCCGCTCATACTTAGACCCACGTATACGCAGCCTTACTCACACTCAGACTCGCTCTCACTGAAACTCACCCGCCGTCAGACTCACGCGTACTCAAACTACTTCCAACTCAGGGTGGGTCAGACTCAGACTCGTACGCATCACACACATACACGATCACACTCACTCGCACTGGGGCGCACTCGCACTCACACTCGGGCTCCGTCCTCGTCCTCAATCAAGCCCGCTCATGTTGACAATCCCCTATACCCTGGCCTACTCAGATTAAAACTCATTCGCACTCAGACTCGCCCGCGCTCAGACTCACGCGAACTCAGACTCACTCCCACCCAGACGCACTCACACTCAGACTGACTCACATTGAGATTCACTCCTATTCACAATCAGGTTCGCTCCTCTTCCCGAATCAGACTCATTCATACTGAAAATCGCCCGTACGCAGAGTTACTCGTACTCAGACCCACACAAACACAAGTTCACTCACACCCAGACGAACTCACATTCCGACTCGCCCAGAGTCAGACCCGCCCGCCTTCATGCCCACTCATACTCAAACGACCTCGTACTCAGGCTGGTCAGTGCTCAGCCTCGCATTCATCACAATCACACTCAGACATTCCGACTCGCCCACACTCATACCCACTCGCGTTCAAACCCGGTCGCACTCAGACTCACTCATGATCATACCACCTTGCACTCAGTCTTCTTATGTAGAAATCCGCCCACACGCAGGCTCAATCTAATCCGAATTCGCTAGCATTCCAACTCGCTCGCGCTCAGATCACTCACGTTCAGATTCGCTCGCACTACGGCTCACACACAAAATGATACCTCGATGAAGTCGGCGCGGCGTCTGGGGAACCCAAATGTCACCAGGCGCCGCGAGCAGCACGCCAGGAACGGGCGTTAAAACGCCATGCGCGCTTGCCCGAGTTGCCGCAGTGAGAACGGCAAGAGGAAATCCCATCGCTCTTCCACTTGTGTTTCCATCTCCTCTCCTGAACGACGTCCAGAACAAAATGACGTCATTTAAGTCGTCGTTGTCGTCGTCTCTGCCGCGCTTGCCGTCTACGCGGACTCGCTCGAACACCCAAAGTCTCACAGACAGAGCTCCTCAGCGGGACGTGACAGAACGATGATGTGAACATGTGGGGACTTCCGCGCCGAGTAATTACTCACACGCCTCCAGACCTCACTTCTCAACACCCTCCTTTTCCTTACTCTGCCTTACTCAGGTCATTTCAGGCACTCATACACAGCCTCGCTCGCACTCAGACTCACTCGTACTTAAACTCACTCGCACCCAAACTCACTCGAACTCGAGTTTACTCAAACCCGGACTCACTCACACTCAGACTCAATCGCTCGGGCTCATTCATACTCAAACTCATTCTCACTGAGACAGACTCACACTTACACTCAGGCTCGCCACTCTTCCTCACTAGGACGCACTCATATTTAGAATCACTCGCACACGCACAGACTGTGAGGATGTCTGAGGCAAGACACTGGCTTGAACACTCCAACGGGGGAGCTGCCCTGGGCCCGTTCGCGCCCAGATTGTGGGAATGTTTCAGGCGGTTTGCCTGCTTCTGCCCCCAGTGGTCCACTGCCCACCGCGATTCAGCAAGCGTAGCACTTGGGCACCCCACGGGGGAAACACCACAGGAGCAGTTCGCGGGCCCGTTCGCGACCACGCTGCAGGGATGTCTCAAACGGTTTGCGTGCTGCTGCCCTCCATGTTTTGTGTTGCTGTCCACTGCACACCGCGAAACAGTAAGCGTGGCATTCAAGCACCCCCTTAGTGGGCCTCGGAAACGGCAGTGCCGCTTTTTCACCGTTTCCGAAACAGTGCCCCTTGAAAATGGGAACAGCAAAAAAACGGCGACCGGAAACGGCAACAAAAAAGGCTCCAGGATTGGAGCCGGAGCGGGAACCCGTAAAAGAACGGCAAGACGGAACCGGCAACAAAAACGGCGTCGTAACCGGCAACAAAACGGCGAAACGGAACCGGTAACAAAAACGGCCCTGTCGTTTCCAGGGCCCACTAAGGGCACCCCACTCGGGAGATACCCCCAAAAAGGTCTTGCACGGGCCCGTTCGCGCCCCGATGGTGCCATGCCCGAGGCGGTGTGCCCGTGCCCGCCTCCCGAGTTGTGTTTCTTTTGTGGCTGTGCACTGCTCACCGCGGTATAGCAAGACGTGACACGTGGGCACGCCACAGGAGAGCCGCCATGGGCGGGGATGTCCCAGGCTTCGCGCCCAGGTGGTGGGCATGCCTCAAGCGGGCTGCGCGCTCCTGCCCCCCAGGCGTCTCCCTTGTTCGCTGTCCACTGCTCACCGCGGCAGAAGCAGGCGTGGCACTAGGGCCCCCCACGGGGGAGACACACCAAAGAGGCAGTTCACGGGCCCGTTGGCGCCCGGATCGTGGGGACGTCTCAAACGGTTCGCCTGTGCCGAGAGCCCGCTGCAATATATTGCAGGCGTGGCACTTGGGCACCCCACGGGGGAGCAGCCAAGGGTCAGGACACTTCAGGATTCCCGCCGAAATCGTGGGGATATTTCAAGCGGTGTGCCTGTCCCTGCCTCCCAGACTTCTCTCTGTTGGTGGTCCACTGCTCACCGCGGTATAGCGAGCGGTGCACTGGGGGACTCTCCTATTGGGGAGCCGACAGGAGTGGGGACATTTCTGGAGGTGCGCCCAGGGTCTGCCCCCCCGATGTTTTTCTTTCGGTGGCCCAATGCGCACCGCGATATAACATGCATGGCACGTGGGTGCCCAAAGAGAAGGGCCGCCAAGGGGGGGACACTCGAAGTCGCGCCCGAACAGCGGGGATGTCTCCGGCGGTTCACCTGTCTCGGCCCCCCAAGTTTTTGTTTTGGACTTGTATGCTCCTCACTCACTCACTCTTTCGCCTCCTCCCCTCTTCGTCATTCAAAAGCACTCATCCCTACTCTGACGCACTCATCAGCACCTCCTCCTCACTCAAGCTCGCTTATGGCATTCAGCCTCGCCCACCTTCGGAATCACCACTACCCAAACTAACTCACACTCATACCCACTCACTCGGGCCCACGCGCCCTTAAACTCACTGATTCTCAAACACACTCGTGCTCAGGTTCGTTCCTCCTCATATTCATATTCGTCGAACTCGTACTCTGACTCATCGGCCCTCAGCCCCATTCACAATCAGACCCGCCCGCATTCAGACTCATTCACATTCAGGCGTATTCGTATCCGGACCCACTCGCACTAATCCTCAATGTGTTCAGACTCACTCCCACATAGGCTCGATCGTACCCGGATTCGCTCACACGAAAACTCCTTCATACTCAGATCACTGACGCTCAGATTCACTCACACGAAAGCTCACACAAATGGTTCACTGGGATGCAACAGCGCGCCACACCTGGGCACCAAAAATGCCAGCAGGCGCCGCGAGTAGCAGGCCACAGAGCGGGCAAAGCAACGCCATGCGCTCTTGCCTGAGTTGCCGTAGTAAGAACGGCAAGAGGAATTATTCCCGCTCTTCCCTTTGTGTTTCCATCATATATCACGGAAGATACCCAAAGGAAGACGCACTGAAATCGACGAAGCCGTCGTCGTTGCCTCGCCTGTCGTCTACGCGAACTCCCTCTCACACTCAGATGCTCACACACAGAATTCATCAGCGAAGCGTGACACGAATGTGAAATACACATATGGGGATGTCTGCGTCGAGAAGTTCTTCTCATCGTTCGTAGCGCTTCAGGACGGTCGGGAACGACCACGGCCGCGCGGAACCGCGGCGGGATCCTACCCGCCGACGCAGCCACGGCCACCATGGCGTGCTACTTATTGCCGCCTTCATCGGGAAGGAACGCGTTCACGCCCTCTCTTGCTGCCCTCCCCGTTGGCCGCCCTCCTCCCCCTCCTCCTCCCGCCCAACGTCCCTTCCCCGCCCACGCGCAACACTGCCCCCGCTCGCGGGCGGGGAGCCCCCCCCTGGACTCGGGAGCTGCAGCAGCGGCGGCTAATTATGGCGCCCGGGGGGGGGGGAGGAGCATCACACGTGGTCGATTCTGGAAACCCTGGGCCAAAAAATGGTCCCGCCACACCCTTGCTTCCGCCGCAGTCCGCCGACGTTCCCTGGCGGACCCGCCGCGCCGTGCCTAACAGGAAGATGCAGACACACCCGGCTGGATTCATGTGCGGGACATCCTGCAGCCACGCGCTGGAGACACGCGTGCAAGCCTGGCCTACAAGGCTCTACGAGGGGCCGAGCGCTGCCAAGACATCTGGGCACGTGTGCACCCAGCTCTCGCAGAAGCCAGCCGCGTCATGTGCGCCACCGTGCATCCAACTTCCTGGTATCTTCGCCAGCTTCCGCCGAGGGCGAGACGCGCCCAGGGGCAGACGCACCGAACACGACTCACCTTCAGGAACGCTCCGATGGCTCGGGCATTCGTCGAGGCCCCCAGGCGAAGAGGCGCGCGCAATGCCCCCCCCACTGGGATGAGGAACACGGGTCGCGACGGAGCCGGGTCCCTGGGTCCCTGGGCCTTCCCCCAGGGCCAGCCGCTCACCCGGAGCAGTCGTACATGGCGGTCCCAGGACAGGGGCAAGGCCCCCAGGGGCCGAAGACCAAAATCCTGAAGGCCCGCTTCCCTGAGGACTCCTCGCCCGCATGGCGAGCGTATCCGGGGGCTCCGCTCTGCCACGCGCTCGACGGGCCCACGCAGGCCAAGGCGTGGCGCACAGTGCCCACACCCGTGGGCTGTCAGACCACTGCCGCCGCCCCAGGAGCAACAAAAAGCGGCATGAAGGCGCAGTTTCGGATGTCCGCGCCGATGTCTTGGGTTTGCGATGGCCACCCCTCCATGGCGCGCGGAGCGCACCAGGGGGGGTGCCGGGAGGTGCTGGCATGGGCCGGCGCCGACTCGAGAAATCCGCGCGTGGCTCCGAAACCTTATGACTCCGCCGCTTGCGACGAACGTGAAGCACACGCCCATACCCTTAATGGGACGGAGGGGGCTACGTATGGGTGCTTGTTGTCGGATGGGGGTTCCCGCTCGAATGGGAGCCTCCCCAGCGGTCCGACAAACGGCACCCATACCCATAGCCAGACCTCCTCCCTCCGATCTAGCTCAAAATTTGTTTGTAAAAGGAAGTCTGGCTATCCACTTAGCCACAGCTGTCCTTGGGCACACCGCGCCCACGACCCGCGAGGCACTCTAAACCCCCTCAACTTCACACCAGAGAAGGGTGCTACAGGTTCTGATCAACGAGAAGCCTCACACGCCTTTCGATCCTCCAGACCTTGTATGGGTGTGTGCTGTTTGTTTGGGGAGATAAGAAGGTATTGATACCGCTGATCCCCGGACCTCTGCTGGGGTGCGTTCTGACCAGGATTCGGAGGCGAGTCCAGCGGTGGCGACGAGGGCCAGGAGGCCCAACGAGGGAAAAACCATGAAAGGATAGCGGCGTGGGTACCTTCCTGTTCCTCCTCTGACCTCTCCTAACGTTGGTTTTCGAAAGAAGACTCGGCTCTCCGGCGGCCGTTCGCGACGATGCAGGTGCCCCTGGAACGCCCTCGGCGAGGCGCAGGCGCTGGTAGGCACCCCGAGACTGGAAAGCCGCCGAGAACCTGCGAAATCGTCCGAAAATCTCGAACCCCGAACCCACAGCACACTCGGGGGGGAATCTGGCCGTGACTTGATTGCTCCGCCGAGCTCAGCGCGCCAGGGGCGGGCAGGGCTCCTCGACGATGCCGGTCCTCCTCTGAGGTACAGTCGTGGCGTGGACCTGAGGGTCCCCAAGCAAGGAACGGGGCCCCTGTTTTCCATGAGGTGAACTTCGATTTCCCATCGAAGAGCTTAGGATAGCCCACGGCAGCCTGTAAACCAACTGAGGAGCACTGAGCCCCTCCCAAGCGAGAAGGGTTCCTTCTTCAGCGCCCCGACTGTATGGGTGTGTGCTGTCTGTTCGTCAGCTGGTCCCCCCTCAGCCTTAGTGGGCACTGGAAACGACAGGGCCGTTTTTTTACCGGTTCCGTTCTGCCGTTTTTGTTGCCGGTTCCGACGCCGTTTTGTTTACCGGTTCCGTCGCCGTTTTTTGACCGGTTCCAGCTCCGGCTCCAATCCTGGAGCCGTTTCCGGTCGCCGCTTTTTTGCCGCTTCCATTTTCGAGGGACATTTTTTCGGAAACGGTGAAAAAACGGCCCTGCCGTTTCCGGGGCCCACGAAGCCCTCTACGCTCTGAGTGGCGCCTCTTAGAGACCCCTTGTGGCCCTTTTGGGGTCGCTCGTGGGGCCTCCTGTGGGCCCTCCTGCACCGCTTCCTGCGGCCTTCCCACGGCGCCTCTCGGGGCCTTCGTCGCTTGAGGCACCTCTTGGGGCCCTGTTTGATCCCCTCGGTGGCAACTCTTGGGAGCTTCCTCAGCGTACGTCCCGACCCCCGCCGCGGCCCCCCGCCGCGGCACGCTCCGCGCCGCGGGCGGGGCAGGCGCCCCACTCCTCCTTGGCGCTCAGCTTCTTCTTGGGCTCGCCCTCTTCGGGCGCTGGTCCGGCGGCGTCCTCCTGAGGGTGGCGGGGCTGGAGGATGATTACGACAAATTAGAATAAGGCATTCGGATAATCAAAGGAATGCTAAACGCAATGGCAATAATGAAACTAATAATGATGGCAATAATGATAATAATCACACTGATAATAATAATACTATGAATACTGATACTGATAATAATAATAATAATAATAATAGTAGTAGTAATAATAATAATAATAATAATGATACGAATAATACTAGGAATAATAATAGTACGAATCATACTCATGATAATCATCATAATAATATTAGTACTCATACTAATAATAATCATCATAATACGAATAATGATACTAATAATAAGAAGACTAGACAGAACAAACATACTAGCAGGAATACTAATGAGACTGATCAAAATAGTACGAATGATACTAATAAACGACATGAGAGCAGACTGTTAATGATGGAGTAAAGAAAGGAATACGAAAAATAATACAAAGAAAGACACTGAGCCTTGCGCGTGGTCTCAGGGTCGACAGGCGACCAAGGAAGAGCGGGAGGAGGACAAGGAAGCAGTTCCGACCTTGTGTGTGGTCTCAGCGTCGACAGACGACCAAGGAGGAGGGACAGGAGGGAGTGGAGGGCGACTACGAGGCGGAGCAGCAGCAGAAGAGGCAGGCAAGGAGAAGAGGGAGGATGAGGGCGACAACGAGGGCGGATGGGGAAAGAGCGCAGACTGATGACGGAGGGGGCGGCGAAGAGGATGAGGAAAAACACCCGAGAAGGGGAGTGCGAGGGCGATGAGGATCAGGAGGCGGAGGGGTCACAAGAGGAGGAGGAGGATGAGGAGGAGGAGGAGGAGGAGGAGGAGGAGGGACAAGGGATGAGGTAATTAGAACCAGAGCTCGCGAATTCCAACGCCCCATAAGCCCCCAGAGGTGAACTGGATGCCGCTATTCTGCTGCAGCGCAAAGAGGTACTCTTCACGGTGGTCGCGCACAGGAAGGATATATGGCTGTTGTGATCGATCATGTCAACCACAGGGGGACCCCATGGGACACCCCTGAAAGGCACCTCGATCACGATCAGGAGAGCACGCCACTGATTCATCAACGCCAGCTCTGCGCCGCGATTGTTGGCGAGGACGCGCCGGTGCACAAAAGCCTCTCCGCAAGGCCAGAGCTCGGATCGCGGGAGACGACTTCGCAGCGCAGCTGCCACGGGGTATCCGGTCGAAGTTCGGTTGTCCGGACGGAGCTCGGCGACCCTCCCCCCGGCCACACCTCGAGAACCCGACGCACCCCGGCTCCCGGCCTCCCGGCCAGACGAAACACCACCCCTGAGGCCCTCCCCTCTGCTCCCCGAGAGTCCACTCTATCCCTCCTCCCCCCGCTGTTCCCTCCTCCTTCCCCTCCTCACCCCTTCCCCCCGCCCGCCCTCTCCCCCATTCCCCCACTCTTCTCTCCCCCTTCCCCCCGCTCTCCGGCCCGCCCCCACCCCGAGGAGGAAGGGTAGGACGGGGAGCAGGCCTGGCAGAGCCCGCTCCGGATCCACTCTCGACGGCCTCAGGGCCTGACCGCGGGCCCCAGAGTCCGGCATCGCCTCAAAAGATCCGCGGGGGCTCGAAGCGGCCTCGCGGAGACCTCCCAGACATGTGAACGTCGTTTTATTCATTGTTTTGCGGATCGGCGCGGGCCCTCGCACCCCCCCCCCGTCGTGGCCCAAACGGCACCGCCCAGCGGCTGTCTCCCACTCTCCGCATGCTGCACCTCGCCTCTTTCACGGAAGTGGTGAGCCCGCGCCTCTCCCTTCTGACTACCTACCAGACCACCCCAACCCAACCCGAAGACCCGAATTTCGGGTTGGGGGGGGTAAGGGTTCCACTCGTGTTTTTTCGACGTTTCCCGACCCCCCCCCACTGGAAATCGAGGGTAAATCTGAGCCTTCGGGTTGGGTTGGGGTGGTTTGGTGGGTGGTGACCTTCAGGTACAGCCGTGCGCCACGGCCACGTGGTGGCCCACGTGCGCACCGTCGAGGGAGCCTCCGCGGTCATGGCGAAGTGGACCAGCCAGGAGGCAAAGCTCGGGCGGGTAGCAATGGGGGGGGACCCAATTGGGGGGTGAAGAAAAGGACCCTATAGGGGCCCTTCGGGGCCCCTTTTGGAGTCGGCGGGTGCCCAAAAGGGGCCCTGAAGGGCCCCTTTAGGGTCCTTTTCCTCACCCCCCATTTGGGTCACCTCTGATGACCACCCGCCCAAAAAGAAAGGTGGAGCACCTTCCCCGTGTCCAGGAGGTGACCCCCCTGGGCATCCGCAGCATCGCGCAGCAGCTCCTCGTCTTCGTCGGTGGAGGCGACGGCCGTGCTCGGGGAGGGCACGGCTGCCAAGGGCTTCAGGCAGCACTACGTATCTCCAAGGACGCCACCCACCAACGCACCTCGAACGCGACGGTCACGTGCTGGATGGGTCGACCGCCTCGCCGCCTGGCTTCAAGGATGTGCCCAAACCTCTCGGAAGAACGCCCGCACGGAGTTTTGTTCGACCTGGCGGTTGACGACGAGTCGGACCAGGTCTCGGAGGCGTCCCATGGGACGCACAGAGACATAGTAGTACTATATGTCTGCATTGGAGGCGCGCGTCCGCCTCGAGCATATCTAGTATACCCGTCTGTTAGCATATCGTTTCCCGAGCGGTGTGGCCAGAAAGCGCCCGCCGGGACGCACAGACCACAAGACTTCTCGCGGCGCGCGTCGCCCCTTGGGGGGGTGTGGGGGGGAAGGGGCGACGCACACACACACAATATCGGTATGCCGGGGTGACGCCGAGATCCGGGGGCACGCCGCCTGCCAAAGACGGCCCCGGGGACGGCTTCCAATGCCAGCGCGGACGCCTGCGCGGGCCTCCCCGGCGCTCGTCGACACGGGAGACGCGCAGCGGCACGCCCAGACCTGACTGCCTACCAGACCACCTCAACCCCATCCGAAGACCCGAGTCTGACCCGAACTGCGGGTGGGTGTGGGAGGGGGGGGGGCACGGGTTCCATGTGTTTTTCCCGTGCTCCCCGACTGCCCCCCCCACAACTGGAAATGGAGGGCAAATTGAGGCCCTCGGGTTGGGGCGGGGTGGTCTGGTTGAGCAGGGACCGACCGTCCCGGCATTCCTATAGTCCTACCACGAGATGTTCTTAGAACCCAAACATGTTCTAATAACAAAAACAATGCTCTTAGAACATACACCCGATGTGTTAAAACAGGACAGTTCTAAGCAAATCTCGTGGGAACCACCAGAGGTTCTCTTAGAACATTGCTTGGTAGGGCCATAGGCGAGCCAGGACGCCTCGCCACCGCTTGACGTTAGGTGGGCGCTGCAGACCCGCGGCGCGTGCTTCTCGAGGCCGCGCCTCGGAGGCCGCGCCTCGGAGGCCGCGCCTCGGAGGCCGCGGCCCGCGCCGCGGAGGCCGCTCGGCCTCCGAGCGGCGGCCCCCGCGGGACGCGGGAGGTGCCGGGCACGGCGAGAGGGTCCGGCTCGAGGGGCAAAGGAGGGCGATGTCGACGGCTGCCGGGGACCTCAGGTCGAGGCGGGGGGGCCTCGGGTCGAGAGGGAGGGGGCCTCCCGTCGAAAGGGGGGGGGGCCCTCACCTAGCAGAGCCGACCCTGTCCCACAAAGCCTCCGAAAAGTCTGGCTCAAGTAGAGGGCTGGAGGTCCACCCCGATAATAAGCACCCCGGCAACGCAACCGTTTAGGAAACGCACCCGACGAAGGGATCGAACAAGAGAGCGCAGTTCAGTAAACGCGCGGGGCCGTTTAGGAAACGCCGATTATTGGGGTCGGGGTGGATTTGTCCTCGTTGATCAAGGTGCAAGGAGGGCGATTTGAACGGGTGCTGGGGGCCTCAGGTCGAGGCGGGGGGCCTCAGGTCGAAAGGGGGGGGGCCTGAACCTAGCAAAGCCGACCTTGTCCCACAAAGCCTGATGGCAGCCTCCGGAAAGTGGGGAGGGGAGCCGTGGTGAGAACGGCGACGGCATGCCCGCTCACACTGGCCAGGCGGGTCCGCGGCGACCCTGCGAACTCCGCCACATGGCTTTCATTTCAATGGGCGCTGTCCAGTCGCTTCGTGTAGATTTGATGCGGCTCCAGAAAGACGTGCAAGATTTCAAATTCCATGCCTCGGAGTTTGCCGCGCGCATGGATGAGATGGAGGTCACGGTCGCGGACACCATCAATGGACGCACTGGCGACCTAACATCATCTTCGGAACTGCCGGTAGATCGAGGCGGGGGCAGCAGGACACCAGTGCCAAGTTCGGATGGGCAGAGGCGCGTATCGATGGTATGTGCGACACTGGCTCGCCCACGAAGGAAGTGGACCAGGGTGTCAGCCAGGCTCAGAAAACTGGAGATTCTGAGAGCGTGAGCGAGCGTTGGCCCTCGCTGTTTGATGCCATGATCAAGATCAACCAATTGTCAAGACGCACCCGCCAATAGAATAAGATTACTGCACGATGTGTAAAGTCGGTCTGAAAGTGTGAGGAGGCTGAAGAACCACCAGCTAGAGCAAATCCAGCGTGCAGAGTGCGACCCACAACATGGACATATGTCTTGTCTGTTTCCGCTCTCCAATATCAGTGCCACTTCCCTTCTACCTCCATCCTCCTGCGCCCACATTCCTTCACCTTCCAGGACGTGGCGCTGGCCAAGCCTAATTACAGGGGATGGTATGGGGGTGAAGATCTGGGTTGGGAAGACAAGGAACGACGCAGAATGCGACAGCCGTTGTCCACGGACCGGCAGCATAATGTGCCGACTGCAGTCTGTGGGAGCAGACTGCGTTCCCGATCCCCGCTCACCCGCACAACTCGATCCTCCTCCTCCCTCCTACCACAGCGGCAGTTGACTTGTCTTAGTGGCGCCATATAACGTGTCCAGGGCCAGCTTGTGCTATGCTTGAAGGGGGTG